TTTTTTTTGATTGACTGTAATTTTTCAACATTTCGTAACGCCTATTTTAGAACCAAAATAAGGCCTTTCACTCTTCCCCGACGCCTATTCAAGAGATTGTACGGTATATTGTTTGTTTTGTGCATGTGTTGTGAACAAAAAATGACCACGCCCATTTAGTGATTGCAATATGTACGTAATAGAAACCGCACCCCGAACTTGAGCTTTTGATCCCAATTTTTAAATTGATACATTGTAATATAAACCGCGGTTTATAATAGGACTTTAACGGTATATAGAGAACTCCCTAGCTACTGTAAAACACTTTATTATTAGCTGGAATTAATTTTTGCTGAAAAGTGTTTTTAGGTGTTTCTAAGGAATTTATTTTTCACTGATTTCTGACGAGCTGAATGTGAAATATAGGAAAAAGGTATATATGCTGGATTTTATTTTAACTGAATCATTCTTACAGCGAAAATAGCAAATTTCACAGTAGGTTATCAGACTACAAAGACCTCCCTAGCTATGTTATCAGCCTACACAGAGAACTCCATAGTTAGGTTATACGACTACATAATGAACTCCCTAGCTATGTTATCAGCCTACACAGAGAACTCCATAGTTAGGTTATACGACTACATAATGAACTCCCTAGCTATGTTATCAGCCTACACAGAGAACTCCATAGTTAGGTTATACGACTACATAATGAACTCCCTAGCTATGTTATCAGCCTACACAGAGAACTCCATAGTTAGGTTATACGACTACATAATGAACTCCCTAGCTAGGTTATCAGCCTACACAGAGAACTCCATAGTTAGGTTATACGACTACATAATGAACTCCCTAGCTATGTTATCAGCCTACACAGAGAACTCCATAGTTAGGTTATACGACTACATAATGAACTCCCTAGCTATGTTATCAGCCTACACAGAGAACTCCATAGTTAGGTTATACGACTACATAATGAACTCCATAGCAATGTTGTCAGACTAATTGAGAACTTGCTGTGTTATCATATACCTCGTATTGCCCGGCCTTGTAACACTATGGGAAGTACGCCCTCACATCAGAGCAATAATTCCCCGTAACACGCCTGGCATAGTACGCCCTGCTTTCAACAATCAAAACAAAATGCTCATTCTAAATTACGTTGTGTGTTTGAGGTCACGGTGTTGTAAATTGTATTTACACCTATTATAAGGTATATAATTAAATATTTATGGTCTTGATACAGCTTTTGCTGTTCTTGGTCGTATAACTTACACACACTCACAAGCTTGGAAGCTTTTGCTGCACAACCCTGGGCCGCAAAAGTCATATCCAGTCCATAAAGAATGTTTAATCAGATCATACAGAAAACTCCCTAGCTAAGTTACATTGGGATCTTCCTGCATGTTATCGACTATTATAAAACATTTTATTTTCACTTGGAATTTATTCCACTATTCTAAATAAAATTCAGTGAATATACCCGTTTTCCTATATTTTACATTCAATTCAAAAATCATATAATAAATAAACTCTTTACAGAATACAAAACAAATTTTTCAGGGAAAATTAATTCCAGCTAAAACAAAGTATTTTACAATAATACACATGCAACAATGAGAGTGGTGTAACTTACCTGGGGGTTCTGTGAGATGAATTTGCATCACAGTTATTAGCGATGCATCTAAGTAATCTGTCTCTGGCTCCTTAGTGTAAAGAATCTCAACAGGATATGTACGTCCAGGAATCGTGAAAATGGGTGATTCAAAGAAATATTGGGAAAACTTTACTGCGTCCAGTGTTGCCGAGGTAACAATTAATTTCAACTCTGTTCTCTTCCTTATAGCTTTCTTCATCAAACCAAACAAGACATCGGTGTGGATCGTGCGTTCGTGAGCCTCATCTAACATGATCACAGAGTACTGGTTCAAATCAGGGTCGATAAGGCACTCCCTGAGTAACATACCATCTGTCATATATTTGATTTTAGTTTCTGGACTCGTACAATCTTCAAAACGGATTGTGTATCCAACCTGTGTGTTTGAAGATGGTTTATATTGTAATCAAATTTTATAAATACAAGTAAGTTTTGATAAACAGAGTGTGCATGTCATGTTTTCAGAAGCATCTAAAAAATTGGTTCAATATGACTGATGCAACTTTGTACGCAGTATCAGATCTATCCAACTAAGCTACCGGTACATGGCATTTATTAATCTTTGTGCTACAACAACTAATCATCAAAGACGTACCTCTTGTCCCAATCTACAACCGAACTCCTCGGCTACTCTCTTAGCCACCGACATAGCGGCAACTCTTCTTGGTTGTGTGCATCCTATTTTGCCACGTATCGTGTAACCAGCTTCTGCAATGTATTGAGTTATCTGGGTCGTCTTGCCACTGCCAGTCTCGCCAATCACGATAAGAATCTGGTTGTCTTGGATAGCCTGGTAAGTAAGTAAGTAAGTAAGTAAGTAAGTAAGTAAGTAAGTAAGTAAGTACATTTTATCATGATAACACGACGATAGAAAAAATGGTGATGTTTACAACTTGGTTTATTGATATTGAGCGAAATTCTTACTTGTGCAAGCTGCTCCTTCAGTCTGTATATTGGCAAACTTTCTCTCTGTTCAACAATAGTTAGTTTTGTCCTCTTTCCAAATGAAGCTTTATTACCACCAAAAGCATGGCGTTTCCATTTTGGCATGTCAGGCTGTACTAACCCGATGCCTCGTGTCTGTGCTCCTATGACACGATCAGCTGTAATAAACAACCATACATGTACGTTGAGAAATTAGATATCTCAAGGCTTTTAGCTTTTATAACTACCAGTAATTCACATGATAAAGGCCAGGCATTAGATAATTCCAGTTAAACACTTTTTTTTACCAAAAAGTTTTTTATACTTAATTTTGAATATCCATTTAAACGATGTATAAAAATGCAGGAACTTTGCAAGAAAAAAAATATTGTATATATGGATATAGACGATCATCTGCATGAATGCTATGAATACAATTGTGGCGATGCAATAACAGTTGGCTTGACTAAATCAGCACTGACAACAATCAAGTGATTTTCGCCTGACATGTTTATGCAAGTGTGATTTAAGTTTTATGGTCACAAGTTCTAGACCCCCACTGGCTGGAATTCACTTTCTTAAGAAGCTCACAAGGAAGTTCCATACAATTAACAGATATAGTTAAATTTTTCACTACCAGTTTCCTATTTACATCACAAATTCCCAAAATAATCCTGTTTATAGTCTGCACTTTCCTTCAAAAGATTGGGACAAAAAAAGCCAAATTTTTTGAATAAAAGCTGAAAATTGACTCAAATATTGTCTACTGGCTCCAAAATTAGGGTTCATTTCCAGAAATATTGAAGAATATAAAAAAAAGTGCAGAAAAATTTGGGTGAGAATGTCTGGTGGTGAAAAGGTTAAGAACCATAAACCATACAAGTACTTACTTTCTGGCATAGGATCAATCCATGTTGTGTTCATACCAGTTGGAATAGAATCAGCTTCAGATCTCTCCTGTGCTTGCTTCAGCTCTCTTCTTTCTTTCGACAATGCGCTAGCCATCATGGCTGCCTTGGACAATGTACCGTCAGGATTCTATAAACGAGATTGTGAACACAGTACAGATATAGTGCTGGTCTGTCTGAAAAAAACTCATGGCATTTCTTTGAAAGTGATGTAGTTTGCTGTCCAGCCTTGTTGTTTGATGTGCTGTACGTCTTTTGAAAACTGTTAAAAAATGTTGACTAGATTTTCTCATTTCATTAAAACAGTAAAATTACATAACCCCATGTGATCACAAACAACACACTTAATTGATTGAACTGGTTGGGTCCAAACCAACATTAAATAGTTAAAAGGTGCAGTGGAAAATCATTACCGTACTTCCCAGAGTATAAGCCTCTCCCCGAGTATAAGCCCACCCCTCTGTTTTTAGACATTTAACAAGATGAGGGCATCCCCGAGTATAGGCCCAGGGTGTTAAAATATGCATGTAAAAAGTGTATTTCATTGCATAAAAATCATGATTGGTACAGTAGTTTTGTTCCAGCTTTTACAAGAAAACTTGCATTAATTAAGTGCATTAAGTGTATTTTTATGAACACGTTTGTTTCTTCATTGTAAAAAGTGTCGTTGAAATCAATGACGACTCGTTTCATATTTTTTCCTCAAAAAGAAGTAATATTCCTCAGAGACCGGCGCTGTGAGTGAAAAATGTAATTTGGATAATTTTTCGCGGTTGGGAAGATAGTTACAATTTTAAACCTACCAACAAATTATCTTTTCTGAGGTGGTCCTTAAGTATACGCCCACCCCCTAATTTTCCTGATTTTACATGTTCAGGCCCCTGGGCTTATACTCGGGGAAGTACGGTAGTAGATTTCCATTCAAGTTATTTATCAATTCATATGGAAAAGATGGCAACAAAAATTAAACAAAACCATACATAGATGTATACTTATCATAAATACTGGGTTTTACCTTGACTATCCTGACAGGACTCAAGTCTAAACTCTGACGTCCATGACCTTTGAGGAAAGGTGGTTCTTCCTCCACCATCTCAATTTCCACTTCCTCATCTGAGTTATCTTCCTCCCTGGGTAGTAAACCAGTATCCTCATCAAAGTCGGGTAATTCAGTTTTATCTATGCAGTTGGCTGCCAACATCTGTGATAAAAATGTATATTTCCAAATCAATATAAATTTCTCAAATCTCATCTTACAGTTCATGCAAGAAGTTGTCAGTGATGAAGATAAAAAATAACATTACCGGTAAGTATTATGGGGGATCTTAGTTTCAAGCCAAACTTTTAGAAAACTGCTATTGGCCGAATGTAAATATAACAGAAAGACTCACGTATTTTAACAAATCATCTGTTGAAAGCCTCTGCAGAAAAATGGTCTCGACAGGAGATGTATTAAAGAGAGTTAAAACATTCAGGCCAGGAATCTAATGGTATGTAGTATGTCTACCTACCACAATGCTACTCTCATGGCCGATATCAAGTTACACTGAACAGGTCTTGTTAGATGATAAATTTCATACCTGTTTAATTTCCCACCTTTCTGGGGATGTCATTCGTTGGACTTTCTTCACATTTGAACTGTCATCTTCTTCCATTTTAACATTAACTAAAGGTATATTACTCGGCCTATCTGGATTACGAATTGTTTCCTCAGGATTATCATGTGAAGACGGCAAGTTACGGGCACTTGTAGGATTCAGATCTTCTCCAGTGTCCTGGTCAACATCTTTCATTGATAGGCTTACTCTCGCGCCAACTATGGATAATACCTTGACCTTGACTTTTTGACCTTTGTGTACCACTTCATTGACATCAGACACTCTGCCTTCACGTCTTAACTAAGAACAATAAAGTATACAGTCTTTTAATTGTTCCACCAAAAGTTTGACAATAAAACTAGAATGCAATCTGCTTCAATTTTCAGATTAGAATGTGCTTCACTTTTCAAATTAGAATGAAATGTGCTTCACTTTTCAAATTAGATTGCAATGGGCTTCACTTTTCAAATTAGAATGCAATGTGCTTCACTTTTCAAATTAGAATGCAATGTGCTTCACTTTTCAAATTAGAATGCAATGGGCTTCACTTTTCAAATTAGAATGCAATGGGCTTCACTTTTCAAATTAGAATGCAATGTGCTTCACTTTTCAAATTGGAATGCAATGTGCTTCACTTTTCAAATTAGAATGCAATGGGCTTCACTTTTCCAATTAGAATGCAATGTGCTTCACTTTTCAAATTGGAATGCAATGTGCTTCACTTTTCAAATTAGAATGCAATGGGCTTCACTTTTCCAATTAGAATGCAATGTGCTTCACTTTTCAAATTGGAATGCAATGTGTTTCACTTTTCAAATTAGAACGCAGTGGGCTTCATTTTTCCAATTAGAATGCAATGTGCTTCACTTTTCAAATTGGAATGCAATGTGTTTCACTTTTCAAATTAGAATGCAATGTGCTTCACTTTTCAAATTAGAATGCAATGTGCTTCACTTTTCAAATTAGAACGCAATGTGCTTCACTTTTCAAATTGGAATGCAATGTGTTTCACTTTTCAAATTAGAACGCAATGTGCTTCACTTTTCAAATTAAGAATGCAATGTGCTTCACTTTTCAAATTAGAATGCAATGTGCTTCACTTTTCAAATTAGAACGCAATGTGCTTCACTTTTCAAATTAGAATGCAATGTGCTTCAATTTTTAAATACAACTGTAGAACTAGCTTACCATGAATATGGGTTTCACTTTTCAAATTAGAATGCAATGTGCTTCACTTTTCAAATTAGAATGCAATGTGCTTCACTTTTCAAATTAGAACGCAATGTGCTTCACTTTTCAAATTAGAATGCAATGGGCTTCACTTTTCAAATTAGAATGCAATGTGCTTCACTTTTCAAATTAGAATGCAATGGGCTTCACTTTTCAAATTAGAACGCAATGTGCTTCACTTTTCAAATTAGAATGCAATGTGCTTCACTTTTCAAATTAGAATGCAATGTGCTTCACTTTTCAAATTAGAACGCAATGTGCTTCACTTTTCAAATTAGAACGCAATGTGCTTCACTTTTCAAATTAGAATGCAATGTGCTTCAATTTTTAAATACAACTGTAGAACTAGCTTACCATGAATATGGGTTTCACTTTTCAAATTAGAATGCAATGTGCTTCACTTTTCAAATTAGAATGCAATGTGCTTCACTTTTCAAATTAGAACGCAATGTGCTTCACTTTTCAAATTAGAATGCAATGGGCTTCACTTTTCAAATTAGAATGCAATGGGCTTCACTTTTCAAATTAGAATGCAATGGGCTTCACTTTTCAAATTAGAACGCAATGTGCTTCACTTTTCAAATTAGAATGCAATGTGCTTCACTTTTCAAATTAGAATGCAATGTGCTTCAATTTTTAAATACAACTGTAAAACTAGCGTACCATGAATATTTGTTTGAAATGAATAGTTGTTTGAAATCATTACACACATAAATTGACACGTACCTGTGAAATATGGACGAGACCATCACAACGTTTTCTCAGTCCTTCCAATTGGACAAAACAACCAAATTTCATAATACTAGCAATCTTGCCGTCATACACATGTCCTATTTCAGGATCAGCTGGTGGGGCTCTGTCAACAAAGTTATCTTTATATTTTTTCTTTCCGCTACCACTTTCCTTGTCCCTACTGTTTTTATAACTGTCTCTGTCCTTACTTCTACTGCGGGTTCTACGCCGATCTCTATCTCTGTATCTATCTCGACTTCTGGACCGTGACCTGTCTCTCCTTTTATCTCGGTCCCTGTCACGATCTCTGTGTCTATGTCTCTTTTTGTCTCTGTGCTTTTCTTTTTCTACACTTTTGCTTCTACTTCGATGTTTCTTTTTTTTGTCTTTACTGTTCAAATAAATAGAGAACAAATACAAAGTGAATAGAACTCGAGTACACCAATACTTTGATAGCGTCAATGTCTGCATGGATTAAACACATTGCAGTGAGTTTTATAGAGCTTTATCAAAGTGGTCCGGCTGAGAAGTACTTAAAGTCACAATTTCATACCCCATCAACACATCGAGTAAGGCCGCTGTCATTGCAGTAATCAACACACAGAAATAGGTGTTAAGTTGTCTCCTCCAGCCTTTTAACGGCTAATTAAATACAATGCAATGAAACATAAGTTCTTTTACTTCAAAACTGTTGGTAAAATACAATAGAACTTCCAACTACCCACGACCTAGCCGAAGCCGTGGTTTATTGAGGTGCGACTTAGCAATGGGTATAATATGAAATTCACATTTTATAAACAACAAATTTCATTACAAAATGTTCATATGGGACGCAGGCATATATTTATCACAAAATTAACAAGCAGGAAGGAACGTATAATAAAGTTATCACCAGAATACTGTAAAGTATACACTCAGGCAGACTGTTTGATATGGGCACAGTACTGCCTTTATGCATTCTTTGTGTTATTCTCGCAAAAAGCTCATGGCAGTTGACAACATACAGTATAAACTACACATGGTGAATCAAAGGAAGCTTAGAAAGAACTCCCGAGTGCTTAGAATATTGGTGACATAATAAAAGTTTAATAATTAGCCTTCCAAACCAAAAGCTTGGCAACTAATATTTGTCTGCTATTTGAGATGTACAACATGAAAAACACATTATTGATGTTTATAATGTACTTTTTGACGGGAAAATACATTAGATTTTATATCTGTGGTTTTTAGTCTAATTTATTTCAGAGATCCTCTACCACATATTCAAATTAAATCTGATTTTTGAGATATCATAAATAGGCTAATAATAATTAGATAATCAATATGCATGTTTTTCATTATTTAAACCAATCACATCTGATTACCCTAGAGCATCTATGAATCGGGAAAACTAACCCTGTGTTGATAAAAATGGTCTCAGAAAATGTTTAGAAAAAATAATGTTTCGCATTGACCAAATATAATCATGCAAAGTATAAATTCAAAGTGTTTTAATACATTGGTGAACTAGAAGGAAAAGCAAGACAAAGTCAAAACGGGGTGCATCATGGACATGACAACACATGCTGCGACAACCGAGTAATCAGCGAAATCATTTTGAGGGCAATTGACCTTCAAGTACTTCTTTACAAACTGTTGCAGCGTGGCGATACTGCTGACATCAAGTATGTGTTGACTAAGTTTGACCCCAAGTCACGCACTGAACTGGCGCGTTATCGTTGCAACCTTTTTCTTTCGTGCTCCGCATGTCGGTCTAGTAAAATTGTTATTATATCCGACGGTACTGTAATCACATACAACTTGTCTGCAACTCTGGCTTTGAATATATCAACATCGTTTACTTAAATAGTGCGCTGCTTTTCTAATGACGCAAATTTGTTTACAATATTGTTCCGGCTCTGAATATTTCAACTTCGTAATGCTTTCATAATAATTACGCAAACTCAAGTAATTTATATTACCAACTTTATAATGCATAATAATTACACAAACATAAACATGGGCGCATTTAAATCATAGTAGTCAGATGTCTTGTGATTCATCGATGTTCCCAATGGTGAATTATTTTATTCGAAATGAAGTGAATATGTAATATAATAAACTCTGGGCAGCGCACTTTGATCGCATTATTCACATACATTTCGACTGAACTCTACTAACCATGTGTTTGAATTACGTGCGGCATTGGGCAATGACTTCCAGAATTCACGCACTGATATTTAAATTCGGGTCACCCAGCTTCACCAAAATTAATATAGTTACCTATCATTTGTTCAAAAAATCTTTCAACTCTCACAAATACCACGAATGCGAAGAGTTTACTGAAACGTTTTTTTTTTGTACAAAAAAACAAGTCAAATACAAGATTATGTGTGTAAGGTTAGATTTCTAGAATGTACACGACCGCTTAACTCTGTGTTTTTTTTTAAATCATGTCGTGTGTGAAATGCAGGAGACATTTTAGTTCGCCAATTTCCTGTTTACTGATCTTGAACTTTTTGTCAGGAATGCGATACAGACAAAGATTAAACATTAACGATACCTACCGTTGTCAAATCAACCAGGAGGCTCGAATCAGGAAGGCTTGGGTATTTCAAACTTTGTAAATAGCATTCATTTCAAGCGCAGACTTTATTTGATTGTAATAAACGTAAGTGAAATGTATTCACAAGCCATAATAAAAGTTATGACTTTTACTCTTGAAATTGGTAATAAATACTTGCATAAAATACAAATATATACCATTTTTCATGCAACAACAATTTGTATACAGCATTTGATTTATTGGATTTTTACACGTTTCGACTTCACAGTGAATTATTTTTAGAGTCATATTTGAAATAGCGCGCTCAATGCAAGATGTCGGACGGAAAAATTGGGGTCTGTAAAAATGTTTGTTGGTTCAGTCAGGCAATGTGTGGACCAAAACATCGCCCACTATTTGAAACATCGCCCATGGGCGGGGGCTTAGGATGGGCGGGGTATCAGCCAAATCCAGTAGTATGCTTGAATTTCAAACCAAAAATAGAGGATTGTTAATCGGTGCTTATATACCAGTTTCTAGACATAAATTACATACTTAAACTTAGAGATTTAACCAACTTGACTTACACATGAGTGACTTCTGGTTCTAATTTTGGCATAAGTGCTTCTAGTTCATCTATGGCATCGTCAGCAATTTTTTTATCATCTGAAGTAGGCTAAAAATAAACAAACAAATAAACAATCCGGTATTTTCAGATTTTGTGAATAACCATGAATTTCTGTTTATGATGTAATAAAACACACCATTGATGATAACACTTCACAAAGAGATACTTAACCTTGTGATAAATCAGACAGTATTTAGATTTTGTTGTAAAATAATACAACATGTACTGAGAATGTGAAACTCAAATACAAACTATAAATACAATGTTTAATCTCCAACATTGATATCAGTAAAAATTTAACGGTTTACAGTAGCCCCTCTATTATTAGTTGGATCCCTCTTTTAGTTGGACACTCCCATTAGGCGGACACTCCCATTAGGCGAACACTCCCATTAGGGGTGGACACTCCCATTAGGCGGACACGCCCATTAGGGGCGGACACTCCCATTAGGGGTGGACACTCCCATTAGGCGGACACGCCCATTAGGGGTGGACACTCCCATTAGGCGTGGACACGCCCATTAGGGGTGGACACTCCCATTAGGGGTGGACACTCCCATTAGGCGTGGACACTCCCATTAGGGGTGGACACTCCCATTAGGGGTGGACACTCCCATTAGGGGTGGACACTCCCATTAGGGGTGGACACCCCCATTAGGGGTGGACACTCCCATTAGGTGGACACGCCCATTAGGGGCGGACACTCCCATCAGGCGAACACGCCCATTAGGGGTGGACACTCCCATTAGGCGTGGACACGCCCATTAGGGGTGGACACTCCCATTAGGGGTGGACACTCCCATTAGGGGCGGACACTCCCATTAGGGGTGGACACACCCATTAGGTGGACACTCCCATTAGGCGTGGACACTCCCATTAGGGGTGGACACTCCCATTAGGGATGGACACTCCCATTAGGGGTGGACACTCCCATTAGGGGTGGACACCCCCATTAGGGGTGGACACTCCCATTAGGGGTGGATACCCCCATTAGGGGTGGACACGCCCATTAGGCGTGGACACTCCCATTAGGGGTGAACACGCCCATTAGGGGTGGACACTCCCATTAGGGGTGGACACTCCCATTAGGGGTGGACACTCCCATTAGGGGTGGACACTCCCATTAGGGGTGGACACTCCCATTAGGCGAACACTCCCATTAGGCAGAGGTCACATACCTTCACTTCAATGTTATCTGGCAAACACAACCCAGGGAATGCTTCTGCCTTCCTCTTCTTCCGGCTGTCATCCACTATTTCTTCTTCAACTTTGATATCTTTCTTTGCAGGTTTCATACGTTGTATCAGTCGAAGCAGATTTGAAATGAACGAGTCTGGAAACTCTGCTCCATTCTCTACTAAGGCAGACTTGAATGTGTCAAATGCATTGTTTTTCTCGGCTAGATTTATGATGAACTCAGCTGGATGTGAAATAACCAAAAACAAATTCATGATGAAAAAAAAAGATTAATCAAATGCATCCCAAATATTTGTAAATCCTGTCCAATCGGAATTGAAAGTAACAGCTAGAATACAGATCAACTCTTTAAATAAACAATCAACCTGTCTGACGCTATTGTCACAAACTAGAGTGACTGCTCATAGTTTTAAACATACGGACATGCTGGGGGAATTAGCGGTACCATAGTACACAAACTACCAAACAGAGCAATGTGACATTTATTTTAATTATTTGAGCTGACACTTTTTTGCAAGCAACCAAACCTGATAAACTACCTGATATTACTATAAGACTAATACCCAAACAGATTATTTGGCTATGAAAGTATGAAATTATTTTTTTGTTGTTGATTTATTACCAATAACACCTGAGCAGAGTGACCAATTGGCATAATCACAATTGGTGGTTACAGTGAGTGTGCAGTAATATTATTATGACTGTTTCCTCGATAAGCAGTGTACGTGATGTTTATACATTGTAACAGTAAAACACTACTTCTGTTTATTTAAAAACTAGCATTTGAACTTGATGGTTATTGGCGCATACATTACCTGTAGCTAGCATAGTAGTTTAATACAGAATCAGTGCAAACTAAAACTCAAACGTAGTAATGCAGGTGAATCAGAGTGGAAAGAAGCCACCCATAAAACAAATATAGGCAGAGCTCCAGAAGGAGTACCTACACTTTATGCAATTTTTTTTTAAATTATGCTAATTTATTCATGACGTAGCAGTTTCTGTGCTCATGAATATTCATTAATTTGTGGGTCATTACATTTTAAAAGGGG